AAGGAGAGAAATAATAAAATAAGAGCTGAAATCAACGAAATAGAAACCAAAAAAACCATACAAAGAATTAATGAAACAAAAAAGTTGGTTCTTTGAAAAAATAACAAGATCAATAGACCCCTGGCAAACCTGACTAAAATGAGGAGAAAAAACCCAAATTAGTAGAATCAGGAATGCAAAAGGGGAGATAACAACAAACACCATGGAAGTCCAGGAAATCATCAGAGGACTACTTTGAGAACCTATATTCAAATAAATTTGAAAATCTTAAAGAAATGGACAGATTCTAGATACATATGATCATCCAAAACTGAACCAAGAGGAAAATTAATCACCTGAATAGACCTATAACACAAAATGAAATTGAAGCGGCAATCAAGAGTCTCCCAAAAAGAAAAGTCCAGGACCTGATGGATTCTCTGCTGAATTCTATCAGACCTTTAAAGAAGAACTGATACCAACCCTCCTTAAACTGTTCCATGAAATAGAAAGGGAAGGAAAACTGCCAAACACATTTTATGAAGCCAGTATTACACTTATCCCAAAACCAGGCAAAGACACCTCCAAAAAGGAGAACTATAGGCCAATCTCCTTAATGAACATTGATGCAAAAATCCTCAACAAAATAATGGCAAACCAATTCAGCAACACATCAAAAAGATTATTCACCACGACAGTAGGCTTCATCCCAGGGATGCAGGGGTGGTTCAACATACAAAAATCAATAAAATGTAATAAACCACATTAACAGAAGCAAAGACAAAAACCACTTGATCATCTCAATAGATGCAGAAAAAGCCTTTGATAAGATCCAACATCATTTCATGATAAAAGCTCTAAGAAAACTAGGAATAGAAGGAAAGTTCCTCAACATTAAAAAGCTATATATGACAAACCTACAGCCAGCATTATACTTAACGGAGAAAAATTAAAACCATTCCCCTCTAAAATCAGGAACCAGACAAGGATGCCCACTATCTCCACTCCTATTCAAATAGTACTGGAATTCCTAGCCAGAGCAATTAGGCAAGAAGAAGGAATAAAAGGAATAAATAGGTAAAGAAACTGTCAAAATATCCCTATTTGCAGACGACATGATCCTATACCTTAAAGACCCAAAAAACTCTACTCAGAAGCTTCTAGACATCATCAATAGCTATAGCAAGGTAGCAGGATATAAAATCAACATAAGAAAAATCATTTAGCATTTCTATACACTAACAATGAGCAAATGGAAAAAGAATGTATGAAAACAATTCCACTTACAATAGCCTCAAACAAAATCAAATACCTAGGTGTAAACCTAACAAAAGATGTGAAAGACCTCTACAAGGAAAACTATCCACTTCTGAAGAAAGAGATTGAGGAAGACTATAGAAGTGGAGAGATCTCCCATGCTCATGGATTGGTAGAATCAACATAGTAAAAATGTCGATACTCCCAAAGTAATCTACATGTTTAATGCAATTCCCATCAAAATTCCAATGACATTCATTAAAGAGATTGAAAAATCTACTGTAAATTTATATGGAAACACAAGAGGCCACGAATAGCCAAGGGCAATACTCAGTCAAAAGAACAATGCAGGAGGTATCACAATACCTGACTTCAAACTATATTACAAAGCAATAGCAATAAAAACAGCATGGTACTGGCACAAAAACAGACATGAAGACCAGTGGAACAGAATAGAGGACCCAGATATGAAGCCACACAACTATAAGCAACTTATCTTTGACAAAGTAGCTAAAAATATATGATGGAGAAATAGCAGCCTCTTCAACAAAAACTGCTGGGAAAACTGGTTAGCAGTCTGCAAAAAACTGAAACTAGATCCATGTATATCACCCTATACCAAGATTAACTCAAAATGGATCAAGGATCTTAATAGCAGACCCCAAACTCTTAAGTTGATACAGGAAAGAGTAGGAAATACTCTGGAGTTAGTAGGTATAGGTAAGAACTTTCTCAATGAACCCCAGCAGCACAGCAACTAAGAGATAGCATAGATAAATGGGACCTCATAAAACTAAAAAGCTTCTGTTCATCAAAAGAAATGGTCTCTAAACTGAAGAGAACACCCACAGAGTGGGAGAAAATATTTGCCAACTATACATCAGACAAAGGACTGATAACCAGAATATATAGGGAACTTAAAAAACTAAATTCTCCCAAAACTAATGAACCAATAAAGAAATGGGCAAGTGAACTAAACAGAACTTTCTCAAAAGAAGAAATTCAAATGGCCAGAAAACACATGAAAAAATGCTCACCATCTCTAGCAATAAAGGAAATGCAAATTAAAACCACGCTAAGATTCCACCTCACCCCTGTTAGAATAGCCATCATCAGCAACACCACCACCAACAGGTGTTGGCGAGGATGTGGGGAAAAAGGAACCCTCTTACACTGTTGGTGGGAATGTAGACTAGCACAACCACTCTGGAAAAAAATTTGGAGGCTACTTAAAAAGCTAGACATGTATGTAACATTTGATCCAGTAATACGACTCTTGGGGAATACCCAAAAGACTGTGACACAGGTTACTCCAGAGGCACCTGCACACCCATGTTTATTGTGGCACTATTCACAATAGCCAAGTTATGGAAACAGCCAAGATGCCCCACTACTGATGAATGGATTAAGAAAATGTGGTGTCTATACACAATGGAATTCTATGCAGCTATAAAGAAGAATGAACTGTTATCATTGCTGGTAAATGGATGGAATTGGAGAACATCAATCTGAGTGAGGTTAGCCTGGCCCAAAAGACCAAAAATCATATGTTCTCCCTCATATGTGGACATTAGATCAAGGGCAAACACAACAAGGGGATTGGACTATGAGCACATGATAAAAGCGAGAGCACACAAGGGAGGGGTGAGGATAGGTAAGACACCTAAAAAACTAGCTAGCATTTGTTGCCCTTAACGCAGAGAAACTAAAGCAGATACCTTAAAGCAACTAAGGCCAATAGGAAAAGGGGAACAGGTACTAGAGAAAAGGTGAGATCAAAAAGAATTAACCTAGAAGGTAACACACACGCACAGAAAATCAATGTGAGTCAACTCCCTGTATAGCTATCCTTATCTCAACCAGCAAAAACCCTTGTTCCTTCTTATTATTGCTTATACTCTCTCTACAACAAAGTTAGAAATAAGGGCAAAATAGTTTCTGCTGGGTATTGAGGGGCGGGGAGAGGGAGGGGGCAGAGTGGGTGGTTAGGGAGGGGGTGGGTAGGGGGGAGAAATGAACCAAGCCTTGTATGCACATATGAATGATAAAAGAAAAATGAAAAAAAATAAAATAAAAAGGAAGGGTGAGAGGAGAGGGAAAGCAAAGAAGGTAAAGAAAAAGGGAAAAACAAAACAAACAACCAAAAAACCCAACCAACCAACCAAACAAACAAAAAACAGAGCCAAAGAAACAGGGAGAGATAGTATACTAATCATCAGTAAGCTAAACAGGCTTTAGAGAGACAGAGAGAGGATAATGAAAAAGAAAAGACAAAGAAACCACAAGTTCAAACCGAATATAGTTCAGTCTTAATTTTGGTGTTAGTCCTTCAGCCTCCAGTCCTGAAGACTTCTTAGTGTCTGTGAAGTAGTTCTGTCATTTTCTCATCAAAAGGGAAAAAACCAAAAACAAACAAACAAAATCCCAAGTTCAAATGCAATACAGTTTCAGTTAGTCCTTGAGCATCCAGTGTTGTTGTCTCATCAAAGGAAGAGGAAAAAAAAAAAAGAAAAGAGGAGTGTGGAGTCAGCTTTGTGAATGTCTATCTGAGGCTGCCGCTCACTTTCCTCCTACTGTCAGCCATCTGCTGCTGTAGGCTTTGTTTATTTAGAGTTCTCCTGGACGCATGTCCCTTTTGTTTTCTCCATTATACAGCCCTACCTGCCTTTGGCAGTTGCCATCTTTCTTGCATGAGATTGGCCTTCCCCACTCTCCAGTGGAGCTTTCCACATGACAGCTGCTGTTATAAGCTTTCCCCTCTCCAGGGTTGCTGGGTGGTGCCGCCACTCCTGCCTTCTCTGGCTGGCTTGTTTATTTACAGTTCATCTGAGTGATTGCCCTCCCCCCTCTCTGGGGCTCAGGGTGCCCTGCCCTCTTTGCTACATGTCTTTTTTTTTTCAGCTGCTTATTATTATTCAGTTTGTTTTTTTCTCTCTTTTTTTCCTCTCTGGGTGGGGGTCAGTCTGTCCAGGGGGCTATGCTGATCTGGCCCAGGACTGTCTGTAGGAGTACGCATGCTGCTTAGCTCACCTGGTGGTCTGTGTCTTCCTAAGCAGTCTGGGAGCTGGCATCTGGCGGTGTCGGAGACCTCCTGGTTTCTCCATTTAACATGGAGTGGGGATGCTATGCATGGGCTGGGGGTGTGGAGGTGTTGGAGTTTTGCTTCTTCTTGGTGGTTTTTCCTACAAGGTGTATCTCCAGCATCTCTCCAAGATTTTACTTTAAGAAGCACGATTTCTGCTTCCTCCCTCTAGTTGCCATCTTGGAATCTCCATTTATTTTTAATAATAACAATACAGTAGATATTTATTGTGCTTCATAATTTATGAAACCCTTTATTGCAAAATCTATGCCTTCAGAAATGTGGCCTAGTTTGAACTTTGTCTAGGATATTCATCTTATAATAATTAGTTCTTTTTAAAACTGGGCTGAGCTGAGATTGTCATGCCTGTCAGTGATCTTTCAGGAGTGACTGTTCCTAGTTGGTGTGAGTAATAGGGAAGGTCCAGAGAAGTCATGTATTGGTAACAGCATTGTAAGTTTTATTTTTCCATTGCAAATTAATATCAGATGTTTTTTATCCTTCAGAAATAAATATGTTCAAATTAGTTTACTCCCTTTGGGGTCTGATCTTAGAATGCCATAACCTTGATATTTTAAAAGTCCACCTTACTGGTTATTGATTTTGGAAAAATAGACCACACCACCACTGGTAAAATTGGGCACCATGCACAGTGCACAGTGCCAAGCCATATCTCTTTCAGGTATTTTCAAGGTGTTCTGTTCCACCTTGCACCACTTCGCAAGAGGCATGAGTCAGATATATGAGGTCAACAGCTGTGGCAACAAGGACCCTTCTGAGCCGCCGTACGGGATGCTAAGAACCTTTTACATCGCCGCTGAAGAGGTAGAATGGGATTATGCCCCTAACAAAAACTGGGAGTTCGAAAAGCAGCACTTGGACGCAGGAGGGGAAAGGTACCACAGGCGAAGTCGCTTTGGTGGGAGTGTGCATGCTCTGTAGACATTTATTGCTTGTGGAAACTTACATATGCCAGGTTTTGTCTGCACCAACAGTGGCTTTTGCTTATGAGCACAGAAGGTTAGGACAGCTGCCCATCCCCTCCCTGGATGGGGTCTGAGGTCATGCTAAAGGCACTCCACAAAGGCTCTGCCCTCCCCTAGTGGTGACTGCTGTGCTGTGTGGCTGATGATGGATGTGTGGATGTGAGAACACAATGGGAAAGATTCAGGGGAAGAGGCAGCTCCAACAATGGTGGGACTGGGAATACTAAAGAGCCAGAGGAGGCAGAGAAGGTGGATAGATCCTGGGGGAAAGGGTGGGCTACTGTAGAGAGGTGCAGGAAAGGGAAGCTAAGGAAGGGTCCAGGTAAGGCACCCAAGAGGAGAAGCAGAATGCCATTAAATTGGGAGGGATTCCTGAGCCAGGATGGGAAGAACAGATCTCCCTACTAGGCCCTGTGCCCAGAAAATCTGCAACACTGACCTCCTTTCTTTTTTTTTATTATTCATATGTGCATACAATGCTTGGGTCATTTCTCCCCCCTGCCCCCACCCCCTCCCTTACCACCCACTCCACCCTCCCTCTTCCCCCCACTCCTCAATACCCAGCAGAAACTATTTTGCCCTTATCTCTAATTTTGTTGAAGAGAGAGTATAAGCAATAATAGGAAGGAACAAGGGTTTTTGCTAGTTGAGATAAGGATAGCTATAACAGGGAGTTGACTCATTAATTTCCTGTGCATGTGTGTTACTTTCTAGGTTAATTCTTCCTGATCTAACCTTTCTGACCTCCTTTCAAAGTGATGGCAATTCTCCCAAATGACCCAAAAATTGTATGCACATAAGAATAAATGAAAAAAAAAAGTGATGGCAGACAGTACTACATTCCAAAGACAGAGCAATGCTTAGGCCACATGCAGGCTTGTGAGTATTGGTCCTTTGCTGCCTGCATCCTCGAGTCCAGTGACCAGTCTTCTCAGGGCTCCCTGGGATAGATCCAAACAAGGAGGAAGTCAGGTGCAGATTGCAGACCTTGTCTCTAAAAGTTAATACCCTCCACAACAGTCCCGGGCTTGGGTATAACTGTCCCTATATGCAAATGAGAAAACTTGGGTGTTGAGTTAAATCACTCTGGCAGAGTTGGAAGTGAGCATAGATCTTTCAAAGGGCAAATCTGTGTCTCTTGTGCTCCAGTTCCTATTTGTTCTTCATTATCACCTACCCAGGCCTCTTCCTCCTCCCCCATACTCTCCTATTCCTCCTCACTAAATCCTCTATGGCCTGATGCACACAAACAACTCTATGTGCTGCTTTCTCTAATCTTAACACATTTGTTTCTGTTCTTACTTGTTGGGCTTTGTTTTGTGGTTCTTTACTCCTGGAAGAGAGAGCATAACAGTGCCACCTTATGGTAAATGAAAAAAGCAACAAAACAACAACATCGATGACAACAAAACCACAAAAATGAACAAAACCCACAAAAGACCAAAATAACTATGTTGAAGATTTGCCTACAGAACAGGAGGCTTTAAAATCCATGCAATTATTCACTAACCCATATGTTACTTTAGATACCTTTCTTCTGGAAAACTCTGCTGCCAGTACAAGTTAAATACTGATACTGGTGGAGTGGGAAGTGAAATGAGTACTAATTTGGCTTTTTTCTAAAATAATTATTTCATTAGCAGCTGCCATCACCAAAGAAACAATCATAGAATCATTTTCTTGTGTGTACAATCTTAGCCCACAAGTGTGTAAGAAATATAGCCCTCATCACTTAATTGTGACTCATTTTCACTTCTGGGTGAAGCCCCATCCCTCTGGACTAGCAGGAAGCTTTAGGTGCCAGAACTGTCTCCCAACTGAAAAATAGAAGGTACTGGTAAGGAGGAGGTAAAATGCCTTTTTCCTGCTACTCTGGTTATTGCCCATAAATAAATAAAAGCCAAGTGAGATAAGGACACATTCACATGTTCAAAGTATGCTAAATTTTATAGATAAAAATTCAGTAAGAATTGAAATGACACTTTCTCCAGTGGCACATCTGAAATACCCCTACAGATAGAGCCCATGGACAAATCCCCTCTGAGCCCCAGCTTCTGTGCCTCTGGTTTTTGACCCAAGGCCATGATTTTTTTTTCATTTTTCTTTTATTATTCATATGTGCATACAAGGCTTGGTTCATTTCTCCCCCCTGCCCCCACCCCCTCCCTTACCAACCACTCCGCCCCCTCTCTCTCCCTCTCCCTCAATACCCAGCAGAAACTATTTTGCCCTTATTTCTAATTTTGTTGTAGAGAGAGTATAAGCAATAATAGGAAGGGACAAGGGGTTTTGCTGGTTGAGATAAGGATAGCTATACAGGGCATTGACTCACATTGATTTCCTGTGCGTGTGTGTTACCTTCTAGGTTAATTCTTTTTGATCTAACCTTTTCCAAGGCCATGATTTTTGAACCACCTCTTGGTACAGCCTTTCTCTGAGACATTAATTGTCCTGATCAGCATAGGCCTTCCCTGCCGCACTTTGGGACCTGGAAGTCTTTTTGGGGGGTTTCTTAAGAACATGCTGGGAAGGCCACTGAGTTCCAGAAAGACAACAAATGGGGCCATCGCTACAATTCCAGGGGGCAATTTTGTGCCATGAAAGCAAATTTGCAAGCAGACGTTAAGTTGCTATAGAAAAATACAGTTCTATTCCTTGCATATTGCTATAGAAAAATACAGTTCTATTCCCTGCATTCCTGAGCTTATGAATTGATATGTCCATAATTTAGCCACCCTACAATTCACCGTAATGATATTATCTATTGAGTACCAATCATGTACCAGGCATTTCTTAATGTTTTACAAACCAAATGTGATTTGATCCTCACAACACGGTTGAAGATTCACAGCTTATGCCCAGCATCCACCCAACATCCTCACGAGATGATGATAAAGTGCTTACATAGATCTTAACATGTTCCTGACATAGTGCTTCACGGACATGAACTCGTACAGTCCTCACATCAATTCTGGGAGGGAGGTGCATTATTTTCACCCCATTTTGCAGAGGAGGAAAGCTGAAAAGCAGTAGATTGTGGCTCTGGAGTCTGTGCTGGTCACACCACAACCGTTACTAGGATGCTTGGAAAATAAAAGTAGAAGAAAAGTTATCCTTTGGAAAGCACACAGTCTAGGCAAGAAGGTATATATGCAACTACTATGTACTAGGTGTTGTGCAGAGTGCTGGTGAAGTAGGGTGGAGAAGGGCAGATGAGGTCATTTACCACACGGAATTCATGGTCCATGAGGAACATGCTAAAACAAACATGGAGAGAGGCAATCTCTAACAGAGCAGAAGTGCAGGGTGCAGGGAGAACTCACAAGAGAAGCACACAGCCTGGTCGTTGGGAAAGGAGGGGAGAGGGTAGGTAATCGGGGAAAGCTTTCTGGAGGAAGTAGTCTTTGAGGTGGGATGTGAAGAGTGAGCCAGTAGAAAAAGGACAAAGGATTTCTTACCAGAGGGACCAACATGTAAAGGGCCTGAAGAGGAGGGAGTGAACATTTAGAATGATCAGATCATAGGATATGAGGGGTCCGTGATGGGAAATGGGGCTAAGGGGGTGGCAAAGGCAATTAGTGAAGGGGCTTGAGACCCTAACTGATGAATTTTCCTGTTTAGTTTTCCAAGTTGTAAAAAGGTTTTGTACAAAGAGCAACTTGGTTTGCAGTATGGGGAACAGAGGGAAGACAGGGAGAGCCATGAGGAACAATTCTGGGTAGTACAAGTTAGAATGCAGGCAGTTAATTGGGAGGAAAAGGGATATGAAACTCACTATATTTTGGAGATAAAAATAGATAGTTTTTTCTTTTATCTTGGAGACAGCAGCTCACTCCCAAGTAGCTGGGATTACAGGTGTGTGACACCACTCCCAGATTTTTTAGATTTTTCTAATCTATTAATTACCTTGGCAATAGATTAAATTTGTGTGTGCATATAACTATTTATCTCAGTCTTCGTGGATTCCACATTTGTGAATTTGCCTACTTGTTAAAGTTTATTTCTAACACCCAAATCAATTCTCATGACACTTTGGTGGTCATTTGAAGATATTTGAAGAGCTGTGAAAACCTAAAGCTGAGGTCAAAGCATCTGCTTTCTTATTTCAGCTCTCTTACTGTATAAACAAGTATCCTCTTTTGGGTCTATTCAGTGCCATAGTTTTTGCATGTGTGTGCTTTATTTTGGTACTTTTCTTGTTTAAAATGCCCCCACTAAGAGTAGTGCTGAAGCACTATCTGGTGCTTGCTCACAAAGGAGGGTGGTGATGTACTTTGCAGAGAAAATATGTGCCAAAGAGACTTGACTCAGGTATAAATTAGAGTTCAATGTTAATGCATCACCAACATATATTAAATACAATGCCTTTAAGCAGGAACATTCATAAAACAAGTTCATAATTCAGTATTCATGGTGACTTTCCAGAATTAGACAACTGTGAATAACAAGAATCAGCAGCATCTATATTTGTATGTGGGTGTATGCACAATACCCAACCTGCAGACTTTCTTGAGACCTTTCAAAGGAGAAAAGCACAAAAAGTTTTAAAATGATACATGTGAAACCTGGAGGAGTTCAGAGTGGTGAAGTGTGTACATGCATGTATGCACGTGGGGTTATTATTACCAAGAAGAGAAGCACAACCCTCTGAGGTTGGCCATCCAGCAGCAGTCCTGACAGAGCTCATCTTCAAGGGTGGGTGGTGGCCCAGTGCTGGGCTTCCTCTGTCCAAACCTGAAGAGCTTTAAAATGCTAATTCTTAGCCTCATTCCCAGAGAGAGATGCAAAAGGCCAACTTCCCAGGGAGGCCCTGATCACAGCTCGGGCTCCCCAAATCACTCAGAAATACTCATGGTTTTTCTGTCTTCTGACAACCTTAACTTCTGATGTTTCTGATTTTCAGACATGAAGATATATTTATGAATCACATTGAAAACTAGATTGGCTCTCAGTACAAGAAGGTGGTTTACAGGGAATACACCAATGGAAAATTTGTGGAGATCAAAGCCCAACCACCTCAAGAGGAACACTTAGAATTTCTGGGTATGGCAGATTTCAGTCATGCACCCTCAGCCTTAAGCATGTGTACACACATGCACACATACAATGTCATGTAAGACTGAGAGGGACAGAAGGAACAGGGTAGCATGACTGCAGTCATCTGAGTGTAATATCTTCCTGCTCTGCCATCATCAGGGAGTGTAATGTGTACTCAGTTCAAACAAAGAATAGTTCTAATAAAATAACAGGTAGCGTATGAGCAGAAATCCCTATCACCAGGGCTGTCTTCCTGGTGTTTGACACCCTTGAGCTTCTCTTCCATCCCTTTGCTGAGCAGGATACTTTAATATGAAACAATCTTATGTCTCAGAACATCAGGCAGAGTGTTTGGATGACTTCTTCAAGGTCCTGGATTACCCATGCACACTGCTGTATTTTCCATATGCCATAAAAGTGAGTATGATGAAGGAAGAACCCCTGATATGAAATGGTGCCAAGGGTGAAAGGTCAGTTTCAGTTCTTCTCAGAACTGACTGGACCTGTCTGCAATCTCTAAGCTATCTGATGCCCCAGCCACCTGACCATTAGATAAGCTGTTCCTGCTTTCCTTCCCTACTTTTCCTTACTTGGAATCACCAAACCCAATCCATCTTCTAGATAAGATTTTAAGGCAGGGGGACAATCTAGAGAAATTTGGAAATGCTTTTTTGCTTTTAAATGCACACAGTAAGTTATAAAAACACTATGGCTTGCACAGTGCTTGTCAATATTTAAAATGAGGCACCATGACTCCCAGCTTGATAAGGTATGGAATGCTCCACCCATGGTCTATTAACATTTAGTATGTGAACTTGTTTGTCAGACTGAATGAGTCATGCATATGAGCCTTGTTTGTCGACAGAGCTCTGAAGAAAAGGTACTGGTCCTGCTGAGGGATTATGTCTACTCTGTGGTTTGGTTCTACTCAGTGGAGAGGAGAAGTTAAGTGTCTTCATCAGTGCCAAGTTCACCAGCATTCAGCTATGGGAGAGTGAGGCCCATTTACTCATTTTCTGTAGCTTGGGGAGAGACCTAGGTCCTTAAATTACTTAAAGAGCACATAGCAGGCACACCTCTGCTTACCACTGTTCCCTGTGTCCTACTGCAGTGTAATTTGAAAGATATTTGCTCTTACTTGACAGTACAGCAGATATGTGCAATTTAAGTGGCAATGAGTATACAATGATTTTAATACATGCAAATTCATTCATTTATCTGTAACTATGCCACAAGTACTGCTTAAAGACAGGGTTTTGTTTTTTTAGCTTTGTCATTAAAAAAAAAAGAGTACTTGCAGAAACTTCCTGATTCATGGTAAATGTTTTCTTCTAAAGATAGTAACACTCCAACAGATTTTAGATTTATTGATGCCTTTAGCAGCATTTCTCAAAAAAAGCAACCAAAATCATGGCTTGAACCAGTAAGGTTCAGCCAACCAACTATGAGCGAATCTCTCTACGAATACAGAATGCACCAAATGCCCAAGAGGGAGTCATAGATATCAGGTCTGAGGTGCTTCTAAAACGGGAGTTTAGGCACGATGAAGTCGTGCTTCGTGAAGATGATTATGAGTCCCCTACTCTCTCATATGGGGTGTGTGTTCTGAGCATCACGAGGCACGAGGCACCTGGAGTAGGGAGGTGCACCACACAGTCACGCAGTGCAGGCTCTTTCCTGAGCATGTGGCTTATCTTTGTGGGCATGCAGACTGTTTGTTTCCAACAGAAAAGTGCATAAAGAGCACATCTCCTCAAGGTATCCATGTATCAAAAGACAGCATTAGGCATGCATTAGTGAAGTCACTGTGCTGATCAAAAATCAGAATGTAAGTACTTTTTATTCACTTGTATCTTTCATATCTCAGAAACACACATTATTTCATGGGATTCTTATTATTATTATCTCCATTTGCCAGCTAATAAACATTTTCAGACTTACCAAAGATTACAAACTGGGAGATAACAGGCAAAACTCACTATATCATGTAGACATGGCTTTTGTTACAGATTATTGCTCAATAGTAATAAAAAGTGAAGTGCTTATCAAGTACAGTGTTTCAAAGCACTGAAATAAGCACTCTACCTACATTATTTTATTTAGTCCTTATCAATACTCTATGAGAAAGGTATTATTAAACTGTTTTATAGACGAAAAAATTGAGATTCAGATTATATGATTCACCCAAGGCCTTCTGATAAGTGAAGGACACAAAATTTGAACCCAGGTTGGTGCCATTGCTAAACATCATATGATATTTAATACTACACAATATTGTCCTCTAAGGAAGTTCACTAACACAGAAGCTAACCTTTATTTTATTCTGCTAAATGCTACCTACATTTAAATTACATCGATGTTGGAAAGAACAATAATGCACACAGGTCTGTGCTTTGTCTTTAGGCCCAATGATTCATGCTGAGGTGGGTGACTCCATCCTGATCATATTTAAGAATAAAGCCAGCCGGCCGTATTCCATCTCAGCCCAGGGTGTGGAGGACATGGATAGCGGGAAGCGACTCCAAGTTCCTGTTACAAAGCCAGGTCAGTTATGCCAGAGGTCTGCGCCATCCTAATGAGGACACCAGATTCTTTTCTTTTCTGTTTCAGCCATCACCTGGTCACTTCTGGTAGGAGATCATCATTCATCCAATGACCAAGAATTTAGGAAATTTCCAAGGTTCCATTAGAGATTTCACAGGGTCATATGAAATAATACTGGCCAACATGTATTGAATGTTAACCTTGTACCAGACACTATATTTAAAACAAAAAAGAAACCACAAAATTCTCATTTTTCCTCACAGCAATTTGGTAAGGCAGACACTTACATATTTCATCAATTCTAATACAACTGATTACAATATCCCTCATTATTTTATCTGTTCCTCAAAAAAGAAAAGTGTGATGCCAATGAAACCTTTACATGTCACAGATTTAATGATGCATACTGACTTTACATGAATTAAAATATGAAAATTTTGCCTTTTTAAATTGATGAAATATGGAATTGTTATGTCCATTTAACAAATGACTAAATCACAGAGTGGTAAAGAACTTGGCTAGTTCTTGTATTAGTAATACAGCATATTCACTCCAGCATATTCTTAATATATTTCTCCTAAGGTGATTAAGATGAGTTCTGTGGGAAAAAAAGACAAGATTGAATCATTTCAGAGTAATGGTAATTATACATCATAAAGTCCTAAGTGGTGAAGATTTTTAGGAATTACCATGGAACTGTTTATTCAGAGAAGGAAAATCCATGAGGAATGATTAATTAGGAGAAAATAGGGAAAGGAATAATTAGGGAAAGCTTTATGAATAAGGTCAGACTTGTGTATTTTTTAAATTAATAAACTTTATTTTGTAGGGTAGTTTAATGTTCATAGCTAAGCTGAGATTTCCATATACCTCTTGTCCCCACACATGGACAGCATCTTCCATTCCAATTCAATTCCCCACAGAGTGGTACATTTGCTGCCATTGATGAGCCTGCCTTGACACACCATTGTCATCCAAAGTCCATAATTTGCATTAGGTTTCCCTCTTGGTGTGTAAACAATGTGGGTTTTGACAAACACTCAGTGATACGTATCTACCATAGTAGTACCTCACAGAATAGTTTCACTGCTCCAAGAATTCTCTGTTCTGCCTATTCGTCCCATCTTCTTCCTTAATCCTGGGAACCATGATCTTTTTTACTGGCTCTATAGTTTTGCTTTTTCAAGAATGTCATATAGGTGGAACCATCCAGTGTGTAGCCTTTTCAGATCGGCTCCTGTCACTCAGCTGTATGTATTGAGTTTCCTACATATCTTTTCACGACTTGATAGCTCATTTTTTCTAAGCATTGAATAATATTCCATTGTGTGGTTGTACCACAGTTTACCCATTCATTTTCAAAGGACATTTTGATTGCTTCCAAGTTTGGGCAATTATGAATACAGCTGCTATAAATATCCATGCCTAGGTTTTTAGTATGGACATAAATTTTAATCTCTTTTGGGTAAATACTAAGGAACACAATTACTGGATCATATGGCAAACGTGTGTAGCTCTGTTTTTGTTTTTGTTTTTTTAAGAAAGTGCCAAACTGTCTTCCAAAGTGTCTGTACCATTTTGTGTTCTCAGTTGTGATGAGAGTCCCTGTTGCTCCACTTCATTGTCAGAATTTGTTGTTTTAGATTTTGGGCATTCTGATAGGTAGACCATTCTGATAGGTAGGTATGCTATCACATCATTGTTCTAATTTGAAATTCTGTAAAAGACAGATGATGTTGAGCACCTGTTTACATAATTACTTTCTATTTGTATAGCTTCTTTGGTGAAGTTTTTAGGTTTTGCATATATTTTAATCAGGTTTTTTTAATTGTTGAGTTTTGATAGTTTTTGTATGTTTTGGATTACAGATCAGATGTGTATTTCACAATATTTTCTCCCAGTTTTGTCTTCTCATTATCTTGGCAGTGTAAAAGCACAGAGTTAGAAGTCTTTAATTTTAATGAAATTTGCTTATTAATTGTTTATTTCATGGATTGTATCTTTTCTGTTGTATCTAAACAGTCATTACCATAAACAGGCCATTTAAGTGTTTTCTTCTAGGAGTTTTTAGAGTTTTGCATTTTCATTTAGGTCTATATCTATTTTCAGTTAATTTCTTAAAGGATACGAGGTTCTTTTCTAGATTTTTTTTCATACATGTGGATGTCCAGTTGTTTCAGTACCAAATGTTAACAAGACTATCTTTTCTCCATTGATTGCCTTTGCTACTTTGGCAAGATCAGCTGATTATATTTATGGGGCTATTTCTGGGATATCTGTTCTTTTTCATTGATGTATTTGTCTTTTACTTTTGTCAACACCACTGTCTTGATTGTTATAGCTTTGCAGTTAGTCTTTTTTTTTCTTTTTTGTTTTGATTAGTGCAATAATTGCATGTGCTTATAGAGTATGCTGTGGTGTTTCAATACCGGGAACATTTTTAATGATTAAACCAGCATATTTATCAGCTTGAACATTTATTATTTATTTATGCTGAAAATATCCAAAACCTTGTCTTCTAACTATTTTAAAATATACAATGCTTTTTTGTTAACTTAGTGTTCTAGTTGTACAGTAGAATGCCTGGACTTGCTACTCCTATCTAATTGTAATGCTGTACCCACTGACCAACTTCTCCCCACCATCTTTACAATAGTATGTCCAGAAGGTCATTAGTACCAGTCCTCCTACCTTGTTATTCTTGAATATCAAATAGGTCTTTTGTCTTTTTACATAAACTTTAGAGTCAGTGTATTGGTATCCACAAAATAACTTGCTGGTATTTTGATTGAGATCATTTTGGGTTTAAGGTCAACCTGAGAAGCACAAATATCTTGAAATTTTGAACCTTCCTATCCATGAACACAGAACATAATTCCATTCTTTGATATCTTTCTTCACAGTTTTGTAGTTTTCCTCACAGATCTTGTACTTTTTTTTTACATGGGGAACTATATATTTTATTTTAGGGGATGTTAATACAAGTGCAGTGCGGGGTTTTTTTGACAGGTAGTACTCTATATTTTTTGAAAAAATTTTTAATTAGTATATAATAGTTGGACAGGGGATACATTGTGATATTTACATATGTGCTTACAATATACCTTAGTTAGATTTACCCCCTCTATCATTCTCCCTCCTCCCTTCATTCTTAGAACAATTCCAACAGCTTCATCGTTCTATTTTCATACAAAATATAAAATAGTCTACCATATTCTCCCTCATTCACCCTTTCTTTATGCCCATCCCCTCCTACTGGTACCCACTCCTGGAAAAGACCTATTTTACCCCAGGTCCTTCATATATTGATAATTCAAAGGGGTTTCACCTTAGCATTTCAAGCATTATTCTATATATCATGCTTTAATAAAATTAACACCCCCCCATTATGCTCACTCTTTCTCTATCGCTATGCTCCCCTAATAGTCAACAGCTTATGGTGCATTATGTTATATTATAACATAATATAACAAAATACAACAGAAGGGTTGTTTCAATATTTTTCATTTGCTAACATTTTCTTTCCCTCTCCTGCCTCCTGTAATCCTCTCAGATAGACCCACTAATATAAATTTGTTCTTTCTCTAACTATATATGTACATATATATGTGATCATACATGTATTTATATATTCATTTAATTTATGGGACTAGCTTCCAAATATGAGGGAAAACATGTCACCTTTGACTTTTTTAGCCTGGCTTACTTTACTTAACATGATATTCCCCAGTTCCATCCATTTACCTGTAAAGTGGCAATGTGTTTTTAATTTTAAATTCTGTTTGCTCATTGCTAATACATAAGAAAATTATTGACGTTGAGATACTAATCTTGTATCCTATCATTTTAATATAATTGTTTATTAATACCAGGAAGGATTGTGGCCAGTTCCTTTAGATTTTCTACACTGAAGATCATGTTATTTGTAAACAAAGACAGTTTGATTTCTTCCTTCCCAATTATGTGTACCTTTTATTTTATTTTCTTGTCATTTGCATTAGGTAGGACTTCTGGTAAGAAGTTGAAAAGCATTAGTGAGAGGAGATCTTTGCTGTGTTCCTTTCTTGATCTTAGTGGGAAACCTTCAAGTTTCTCACTAGTAAGCCATTAAATAAAGTTACTAGTTGCTTTTTTTGGTGGGATTGAGGTTTGAATTCAGGGCTTTGCACTTGCAAATCAGGCATTCTACTTCTTAAGCCATGCCTCCAGTCCATTTTGCTCTGGTTATTGTGGGGATGGGATCTCAATAACTATTTGCCCAGGTTGGCCTTGAACCACATTCTCTTGATCTCGGCCTTCTAAGTAGCTAGGATTACAGACATGAGCCACCAGTGCCTGGCAAACGTTACTGATTTTTAGTGGTCAAAAAACAACTCAGAAAAGAAAGGTACCCATTAGGTATTGGTGGAGGCTCTCAGAATAAGGCTGTGGGCAAGCTGGGGTGACCCCCTGACAGGCTACTGTGCCCTGATGGTGAGGACTAGCAAGATACAGCAACTCTGTTGCCTGGCCTTCCAAAAGTTCTTGAGGTAAGGGGTCATGGGAGTAGGGAGGAGGATGGACTAGAATGTGAAAAGGAGCATTTTTTCTCCTATTCAAACTCAGAGAGAGAGATTTCTTACAAAGTTCTCTGACAAGGCTGAAAGGTTTGGGAGAACCCAGAGATTGGAGGGGGAAGGAAAGAACTAACTCTTTTCATGAAATCCAAACAAGTTATAGAAGAACTACATGTACAAAAAAAAAAAGGGAGAATACAAGCATCATAAAAAGTAAGCGACTCCTGAGTTTCTCCTCATTCTTGTTAAACTACTCAGTAAACATTTACTGAACACCTTCTTTACATTTATTATGGTGCTGACTGCTGGGCAAGTAATGAATTATTCCAACTTTAGTAGCACCACTCCTGAAGTCACATGTATTTAAGAAGCTTAATATCTGCTTGCCATTAGAAAGGCAAGAGTGTTTTAATGAAACATAATGGAAACCAGACCTAAAGTGTATTACTTACTACCCACTGGTACATTGACAAAAATGGAGCAAAGTCGCATATAAGCATTACTTATGTGGCACACATATTTATTCTGGTTGGATGGGATAGTTCAAAGGAGATAATTATTTAAGCATAGTTTTTATTTGGAATTTTTGCAATGCAATTATTGTCTAGTAAATCTAGCTATATTGGTATCTCCTTTGTGCAAAGTCCTGGGTCAGCCACAGAGAATGAATAGATAATGGTCCTCCCCATTATCTATGCATGATCATACATACATTTGTTATTAATCGACATAAAAGTCAACATTTATTAACTCCCTTCAATGGGAGTGCCTTCATGGGCACTATCCCATGTACTCTCATATATATATATTTTATGGTACTGGGGATTGATCTCAGGACCGTGAACTTGCTAGGCAGGCGCTCCACCACTTAATCCACACTCCCAGTTCATCATTATATGATTATTTTATTTAATCCTCACAAAAATCTGAGAACTAAGATGACTAACCAAGTTTACAGGTAAGGAAACTAAATATCAGTGAGGTTAAGTAGCTTCTCAAATGTTGTCTAAATAGAAATACCTCTAGGGTTGACATTTGGAAGTAGGTCTCTCTGGTTCTAACTGGATCTCACCTGCCCCATCATACACCTAAACTATTGAAACATATTGGTGCCTGAATCTGACACTGAAAATATTCTGATTCCTTTGCCTTGAGTGAGGTCTGAGCAGAAAGAGCTTATAAAGCTCCCTGGTGATTTCTTTAAGAGGCCCAGACTAAGACCCTGATAACTAAAGTCTGAGGATAGCTCTCAGGAGAAGATACAAAAATTGAGGAAAAACAGTGATCTATAAAATAAAATGTGATTTCCTGAATACATAATAGTTAACAATAGAAAAGGGCAAACTATAGAGAAGGCCAGAGTCTGAAAACATATACTTTCATGATGAAATTGTACATAAGTCTTTCATGATGAAATTGTACAAATCAAGACAAGAGTTTAATAATCATTTCTAATGATAATTAGCAGCGGTAAAACATTGACTAAAATATATAAAGACCTGCTTGTATCTCTTCAGGTAAATCATCTACAACAGAGGTAACTCTCACAAGCTCATTATATTTCTTCTTTGATTTTAGGAGAAATAAAAACTTACAGATGGAATGTCCCTAAAAGATCAGGTCCAGGGCCCTCTGATCCTAATTGTATTCCATGGGTTTACTATTCAACAGTAAACTTTGTGAAGGTAAGGCGGATAGATTACCAAGATGTTCAGTGTAACATGGCTTATGTTGACTATCCAAATCATCATACCTCTGGAGGGCATTTTAGAAGAGTGTATGATTTAGAGAAGTGGTCACAAACTGTAGCCCTCTTCCCAAATCCAACCATGCTCATTCATTAATGTTGTCTGTAGTTGTGACAGAGATAGTATAGCTCATGAAGTAAAAAATATTTGCCATATAGTGCTTTATAAACAGATTTTAAAGTTTGCTAAACATTGATTTAAAGTATGGGAAATGAAAACAAAGATCCATTCAATTTCCAAGAGTGGATCTTATGAGGCAGTTTGAAGCAAAAGAGGATATGTCAATAGAAAAAAAGTATTTTACAATATAATTTGTTTATGGTTTTAGATGTGGGAAATCTATTATTTTAAAGGTGTTACCAGGGCTACTAGGGATCAGGGAAAGAAAACATACTCCAGCCATAGTAACTGAAACTTCAAAAATATTTGAATGATTAATAGGCTGATAAATGAGTCAGGTATGTATATATAAAGCAACTACAAGTCTTTAATGCTATGTCATAAACCAAAGTCCTAATTAAAATCAGACCTGATATAAAACGTAGGCACTTCCCATTATTTAACAAGTGATGGACTATCTTAATCTTCCTCTTGGATGTTACATGGTGTTACATGGCTTGAATTAGTGACCTTGAGTTATACTGCACAGTACTGGAGCTTAGGAGACAGTCATATAAGTTACTTGAAAAATAAATTTACAAATTAGAATTATGGGACACATACTTATTGTTTATTCATTTGTACATCCAGACAAATATTTATTGAGTACTTGTGACATGCAAATTATGCTGCCAAACACTATACCAGATGCAAATATTCTTCTTTGGAAGAAGCACATGACTTTGTGGGGAAAATAAAACATGTCCACACTTCTGTAGGAGTGGTGGATTATGGATGGTACCATGGGAGGCTTTGGACAGAGTCTAGGGAGAAAAAAAATGATATTAGTAAAACTGAAAGTACAAAAGCTGAAGCTGTGTTTGAGAAGTATTTAGAGTCCCATTTGACTATCATATATGACCCAAAAAGAAAGCAGCGGGGCAACCCAAGACACAAATTTCATTGAGGAAGCACATGGAAGGGCTTGAAGGATTATATTTTATTCTGTAGGCCATGGAAGTCCCTGAGGACTTCTAATTATGGGAGCAACTAGATTAATCTGATAGTGGTAGTAGGATGAGTTGAAGGTGGGGTGGGCTAGAGACCAGAGAGGAAACAATTTCTAGATTCTAATACTAGAGTGATGGCAGATGGAATGGAATATTATTAAATATTTCTAAATTCTAATACTAGAATGGTAGCAGATGGAATGGAATATTATTAAATATTGAATGGTTTATCTATTTTTTAATTCCAGGATACATATAGTGGTTTGATGGGTCCTCTGATTACATGCCGAGAAGGAGTATTGAATGAAAAGGGAAGAAGAAGTGATGTTGACTATGAATTTGCTCTTTTGTTTTTGGTATTTAATGAGAATGAATCCTGGTATCTGGATGATAATATTAAGAAGTATCTCAATAAAGATCCACGAGATTTTAAACACACTGATGATTTTGAAGAGAGCAACAAAATGCATGGTATATCAGACATTCAAAGGAAGACCAGGGTCATAGAAATTCCTATCACTGTAGGAGACCCCCCCCCCACCTCCCTCTCTGGGCCTTTCCCTCTTAAGGGCACCTGAACTGAAGAAAGTCCTCTAAAGGTTTTTTTCAGAGTGAACCAGCCTAGTCATGGGTTGTCTGACAGGAAAGTTATTGAGGCTTTGTACTGATTGTCTTTAGGGGTATCTATCTCAGAATGCTAAGATCTTTAAGCTATGAAGAAGTAAATTTTAAAAACAAAACAAACAGAAGTTGTAATGTTTAATACAAAATATAAAAATAAGTGTTACATGAATCATTACAACTTTGGTTAAATTTAAAAATTTGATTTAATTTTCTAGAACATGAAACTCTAGCACTGAATTTTTGTTTTAATGTATCTGCTAATTAATTCTGTATCATTTAAGGAATTCATTTTGGTAGGAATAATGTGTTCAGATTGACACTTCCACATACTCTAAGACCTGCTTTTGAAGATGGGCCATGCCCAATGTCTCAAAGCTAGTTGTTAATACAAGTTAAAATACTGTGGCCTGATTCCTAGTTCAGCTACTCTATTCCTTATAATTTTGCTTTCCTTTCTCAAAAATATCTTAGTATTTTCTCTCCTTTTAATGAATGCAACTTATTTGGCTATGTCATGGATTCACAGAATAAAGCATTAGTAGGATGCTGAGGAATAATATTCACCATTGCATAAACTCAGCTTTGCTCATTGTTAGGTCCTGGGTTCAGTCTGTGGGAAGCTCTCCTTTTGGAGGTTCACCAGGCTTATGCTAGTTCTCAGAAAATGAAACATTAAAGAAATGACTTATAATTAATTCAATGTTGATTTGTATATGCTGGATTCTTTGTAGCTTAGTACACTCATTTGTAGAATGGTATTAATTTGGCTTCTCACAAATGAGCCTGTAATTTACTTCCAAAAAAGGATATACTGAATAAACAAATAAGCAAACAATACTGCCATCTAACATATAGCTTTGAAAAACAAACTGATTTCTCTTTTCTGGCTTTCTTTGTACAAAGATTTCTTAGTAATCTGAATTGAGAATCTAAAATGGGGGAGTCATTAGTTAGTGAGGCTGTTAGTTATTTATCAGGTAGAAAAGAATACCTGTGAACTAATGATCTTGAACTAGTTCTAAAACCAGGTTAAGTAGTAAGTATGTTTGCATTGATCAGAAGCTACTGTCTTTTCATTTTCTTAGCTATTAATGGGAAGATTTTTGGAAATCTCCATGGCCTCATAATGAATGAAGATACAATGACAAACTGGTATTTGTTAGGAATAGGAAGTGAAGTAGATATACATACCATCCATTACCACGCTGAGAGCTTTCTTTTCAAAGTAAGTATAAGAAATATGCTTTGGGGAAATTTTTTTTTCGTTTTTTTTATTGTTCTATTATTCATATGTGCATACAATGCTTGGGTTATTTCTCCCCCCTACCCCACCCCCTCCCTTACCACCCACTCCACCCCTCCCCTTCCCCCCACCCCCTCAATACCCAGCAGAAACTATTTGCCCTTATCTCTAATTTTGTTGAAGAGAGAGTATAAGCAATAATAGGAAGGAACAAGGGTTTTTGCTAGTTGAGATAAGGATAGCTATACAGGGAGTTGACTCACATTAATTTCCGGTGCGTGTGTGTTACCTTCTAGGTTAATTCTTTTTGATCTAACCTTTTCTCTAGTTCCTGGTCCAATTCTCCTATTGGCCTCAGTTGCTTTAGTTTCTCTGCATTAAGGACAACAAATGCTAGCTAATTTTTTAGGTGTCTTACCTATCCTCACATCTCCCTTGTGTGCTCTTGCTTTTATCATGTGCTCAAAGTCCAATCCCCTTGTTGTATTTGCCCTTGATCTAATGTCCGCATATGAGGGAGAACATATGATTTTTGGTCTTTTGGGCCAGGCTAACCTCACTCAGAATGATGTTCTCCAATTCCATCCATTTACCAGCGAATGATAACATTTCATTCTTCTTCATGGCTGCATAAAATTCCATTGTGTATAGATACCACATTTTCTTGATCCATTTGTCAGTAGTGGGGCATCTTGGCTGTTTCCGTAATTTGGCTATTGTGAATAGTGCTGCAGTGAACATGGGTGTGCAGGTGCCTCTGGAGTAACCTGTGTCACAGTCTTTTGGGTATATCCCCAAGAGTGGTATTGCTGGATCACATGGTAGATCAATGTTTAGCTTTTTAAGTAGCCTCCAAATTTTTTTCCAGAGTGGTTGTACTAGTTTACATTCCTACCAACAGTGTAAGAGGGTTCCTTTTTCCCTGCATCCTCACCAACACCTGTTGCTCGTGGTGTTGCTGATGATGGCTATTCTAACAGGGGTGAGGTGGAATCTTAGTGTGGTTTAGTTTGCATTTCCTTTATTGCTAGAGATGGTGAGCGTTTTTTCATGTGTTTTTTGGCCATTTGAATTTCTCTTTGAGAAAGTTCTGTTTAGTTCACTTGCCCATTTCTTTATTGGTTCATTAGTTTTGGGAGAATTTAGTTTTTTAAGTTCCCTATATATCTGGTTATCAGTCCTTGTCTGATGTGTAGTTGGCAAATATTTTCTCCCACTCTGTGGGTGTTCTCTTCAGTTTAGAGACCATTTCTTTTGATGAACAGAAGCTTTTTAGTTTTATGAGTTCCCATTTATCTATGCTATCTCTTAGTTGCTGTGCTGCTGGGGTTTCGTTGAGAAAGCTCTTACCTATACCTATTAACTCCAGAGTATTTCCTACTCTTTCCTGTATCAACTTTAGAGTTTGTGGTCTGATATTAAGATCCTTGATCCATTTTGAGTTAATATTGGTATAGGGTGATATACATGGATCTAGTTTCAGTTTTTTGCAGACTGCTAACCAGTTTGGGGAAATTGTTTTTAACAGTCAATGTATTTCCAGTGGTAAATAAGATGGTAACTTGGAAATAATGCTCATGAGGGGTTAATATGAGAGAATGGAACAGAATAGAATGATTATATTCTCTCCTGGTGGATATTTCTTTATACATGTGTGTATTATTTCTTATTTTTCTTTTTTTAGGCAAGACACAAACTCTGTGAGTCTGGGTGTGGTGATTCAGGCCTATTACACTAACTACTTGTGGGTAGAGATTGAGATGATCTGTGTTCAAAGCCAGCCTGGGCCAAAGTTAGCAAGACCCTCATATCAACCTACACAAAAGCTGGTAGTGGTGCTTGCGCCTGACATTCTAGCTGCATGGGAAGTGTAAAAAGGAGGAATGTGGTCCAGGCCAGCCTGGGCATAAATGAAAGATCCTATTTAAAAATACATCTGAAGTCAAAAGGGCTTGGAGCATGGCTCAAGTGGTAGAGCACTTACCTAGCAAGCACAAGACCCTGAGTTCAAATCCCAGTACTACAAAACAAACAAAAAACAAAAATCTGTAAGTCTCAGATAAGAGTTATCTCATCAGTTACATGGCTATAATTCTCATAACCCTGTATTATGTATTAATACTGTTTAACAGGGACCATAATGTTAGTCCCTTTTACTGGTCCTTTTTCTCTCCCTCCTTTTCTTTTCTTTGTGATTAACAGAATAGCCCTATCCAATAAGGGAGAAATTATGAGCTCTGGCTTGGGCCCCCAGAGTTATCCTGAGTTTTGCCATAGAGAGCTGGACCATGTGTGACCTACTCCTTGGCACCAAGCTATACCCTATGGGTGGTGCTAACCGTATAGCAGAGTCACCTGGGGAGCTGTTGAGAAAACAGACCTGCAAAATCAGTCTCCAGGGAAAAAGTCCACATAGTCAGCCATCTCAAATTCTCAGTACCATCTACAAGGAAATAGAGAATGGTAATCTAATCTGAGGGAGGGGCAGAATCTGTCTTGTGCTCATTGTACAGGGATAAACAGTAATTTCATAAAAGATCTAATATCCTCTCCTTTCTGTATATTTTGAAGGGCACCAAGTATTGACTGTATTGGCTAATATAGTGATTAGACTTCCACTATTAAATACCTATGCTGCTTTTCAGAATTTGGCTTTTTCAATACTCATTTTAAAAACTAAATAAAAAATTTAGAAAATAATAGAGCTGAGCATGGTGGCAGCTACTCTGAAGGGGGAGGTAGGAACATCGTGAGTTTGAGGCTAGCACAGGTGAAGTTAGCAAGACCCTATCTCAACAACAAAATACAAACAAAAGATCTAGGGAATAGCTCAAATGGTAGAGCTCAATCCCCAGTACCACAAAAAATTATAAAATTATATAAAGTTTACATATGAATGTTAAAAATTAAGATATGACTTACATTATATAAATTCACCTTATTTACTGTACAATTTTGTTCTGTAGTGTAACCAAAAACAATCAAAACACAATAGTTCCATTACCTCCCAGAGTTTTCCACTGCATCCCTCGTGTCACTTACTTGTCCAACCACTGATCTATTTTCTGTCTCTGCTCTGATGTGAATGTATCCTCCAAAGTTTGTGTGCTAGAGACGTACTTTGGTCTCTTGAGTTCTTGTGTGGGTATTTTCTTTTCCGTCTGCCTTTTGCCATGTCATGATACAGTAAGAAGGCACTCACCAGGTGCTGGTCCCTTAACCTTGGGTTTCTTAACCTCGAAACCACAAGAAAGAAGTTTCTATTCCTTTTTCCTCCCCTGTGGTACTGCAGCTTGAACTCAGGGCCTACACTTTTGAGCCACTCCACCAGCCTTTTTTGTTGAAAGGTTTTTTTTTGAGATAGGGTCTCACGAAACTATTTCCCTGGCTGGCTTTAAACCATGATCCTCCTGATCTCTGCCTCCTGAGTAGCTAGGATTACAGGTGTGAGCCACCAGCACTCAGCAGAAGTCTATATTCTTTATAAATAAACCACTCTCAGGTATTCTGTTATAACAGCACAAAACAGACAAGACAAGCTCTACAGTTTTACCTTTTCTAGAAGTTATATTGTTTGTACATCTTGAATCTGGCTTATTTTATCCACATAGGTATTTCAATTTCATCCTCTTAAGTGCCTCAGTGGTTTGTTTCATTTGATGGTTGGAATAGTATTCCATTGTATGGGATATAATGCAGTTCATCATTTATTCTCCTATTTAAAGAATGTGTTGGATTGTTTCTAAGGTTGGTTACTACAAATAAAGCCATTGTGAACATTTGTACACGTTTTTATGTGAATATAGCTTTCATTTCCCTTGAGAAAATCTGTAGGAGCAAAACTGATAAGCCCTGTGTAAGTGTGTATTTATAGAAACTGCAAGTTATGTCCAATGAGGTGGCACTATTTTGCATTCCAGCAGAAATATATGAGAGCATTTTTTCTTGTGAGTTTTATTCTTCTTCTTAGCCATTATACTATACAGTAGTGTATCTTACTGTTTATTTACATTTTCCTAACAGCTAATGATATGAACATCTTTTCATGTGCTTTCATGTGTTACCATCTATAAACTCTTTGGTGAAATGAATGAGTTTTATGCCCATGTTGCTGCTTTTTAATTTAACGTTTATTTTAACTGATGTATAAAACACCAAAATTGTATGTATTTGTGGGTTCCATGTGATGTTGCCATTCATGTGTATATTGTGTAATGTCAAATTAGGGTAGACGTCTCTATCCTTCAAACATTCATCATTTCACAGTTCTTTCTTGTGCTTTCTGAAATACATAGTACATTATCTGTAGTCACTCTGTTGGGCAACAGCCTCACCCAGAACCTTTCTAACTGTGATCAACATCTCTCCCTGCCCTCCCATATGAGTGAGATAATGTGGTCATTATCCATACATGTCACTGAAAATGACAGGATTTCATCCTTTCTCATGGTAGAATAATATCCACGGTTTTCTTTCTCCATTCATCAGTTTTGGACACACAGATCATTTCCCATGCTTGACGATTGTGAATTTCAGCTGCAATGAACATGAATGTACAGATGTTCTCTTTGACAAACTGCTTTCCTTCTCTTGAATATATACACGCTAGTGGCATTATGCATGGTAATTTAATTTTTAATATTTGAGAACCCTCCACATTGTTTCATTACGGCCACATAACTTACATTCCTGCTAAGAGCGTGCAAGGGTTCCATTTTCTCCATATCCTTGCCAGCATCTTTTGTTTTTCTGTCTTTTTGATATTAGTCATTTCTTTACCAGGGTGAGGTTATATTCTCATGGTGGTTTTGATTTGCGTTTCCTGATAATTAGTGATTTGACCAAACATTTTTTCATGTATGTGTTTGCATTTGTATATCTTCTTTTGAGAAATATCTGTTTAGGTCTTTTGTCCATTTTAATTGAGTTATTGCCTTTTTGATTGAGTTTTTTAATTTCTTATATATTCTGAATATTAATCCCTTGTCAGAGGGTTAAAAGTTTACAGTATTTTCTTTCATTGTATGGGCTGTCTCTTCACTCTGTTGATTGTTTCTCCTTTCTGTACAAAAGCTTTTTAAGTTTGATGTGATCACATTTGTCTATTTTTCTCATTCTTTGCTTTTGGGGGTCTGTCTAAAAAAATCCTGACTATTGTAATGTCTTAAAGAATTCCCCATGTTTTTTCTAGTAGTTTCACAGTTTCAGTTCTTATGGTTGCCTTTAAGCCACTTTGAGCTTATTTTGTAAGTAGTGAAAGACAGGAATCTAGCTTCATTTCCTGAATGTGGATACCCAATTTTCTCAGCACCATTGATTGAAAAGTCCCTCTTTCTTCAATGTGTGTTCTTAGCACCTTTGTTGAAATCAGTTGACTCTAGACACATGGGTTACTTCTAGGCTCTATATTCTTCTTTCATGTCTGTTTTTATGCCAAACACCTCTGTTTTGATGATTAGAGTTATAGTATATTTGAAGTCATATAGTGTTTTCTGCTTTTCTTTTTTCTCAAGATTGCTTGCTATTCTGTGTTTTTTTTTTTCCGGTGGTACTGGAGTTTGAACTCAGGGCTTCATGCTGCTAGACAGCGTGCTACCATTGAGCCACTTCACCAGCCCTTTTTGTGTTAGGTGTTTTTGAGATAGGGTCTTGTGAACTATTTTGCCTGGGCTATCTTGAACTGTGATCCTCCTCATCTCTGCCTCCTGAGTAGCTGGATTACAGCGTGAACCACGTGCACCCAGTATCTTTGTGTTAGCTTGTATGTGTGTGGTTTCATAAAATCTTAGGAGCTTTACTAGCTCTGTAAGAATGTTTTTGGTATTTTAATAGAAAATTACATTGAATGTATAGATGTCTTTGAGTAGCATAGATTATGTCTTTTAAAATTTTTGGATTATTTATTTTTACTGTAGAGTTTGGGAGCTTTATTATAATCTAGATACAAATTATTATAGGCTATGTGATTTACAAATATTTGTTCTAGTTTATGGCTTGTCTTTTTATTTATAACATTATCTCAAAGAACAAAATTCTTAATTATTGGTCAATTTTAAGTTATCTTTTTTTTAAATTTGTGGCTCATACTTTTGGTGTCATATATAATTATTTTTTGTCTAACTCAAGTTTATAAATACTTTCTTCTTTATTTTCTTTTAGAAGTGTTATTAGTTTTATATTTAGTTCATTTTTTGCATAAAAATAGCCAATATTCCATCCTATTCAGTAAACCACTATTCTTAGCTGAGCATGTGCACATGCCTAAGGAGGCTAAGACAGGAGGACCATGAGTTTGCAGCCCACCCTAGGCTACTAGTGAGTTCTAGGTGAGCATGGGCTACATAGTGAGACCTGTTCTCAAAAAACAAAACCCTATATTCTTTTTCCCATTGGATTGCCATTGCACTTTTGTCAAAATCATATTCCCACATATTTGTGGGTCTATACTTTGCTCTCTATTCTGTTATTTGATCCATATGTCTGTACTTCTTGAATGCCACACTTTTTTTTGTCAGTACTAGGGTTCGAACTCAGGACTTTGTGCTTGCCAGGCAGGTGCGCTATTGCTTGAGCCATGCCTCCAGCCGTGACAAGCATGCTCACCATGCCCAGCTATTGGTTAAGATGGAGTTCTACAAACCCGTGCCTGGAATTTTATCCCGTCTAGTAGCTGGATACAGAAGTGAGCCAGTTGTGTCAGCTCTTAATTTTAGTATGTTGCAAAATTTTTTTCTTTTAAAAAATTATTGTATTTTTTATTTATCACATTAATTATGAGGATTTCATTGTGATTATCATACATGAAGTACAGTATGCCTTGACAAGTTCAACCCTCTCTTGTTTACAATAATGTTAAAATTAGGTAGTGATTTTTTTTT